AATCAACTCACGAAGTCCATCCACATGGGGCACAAAAATACGACCCTGCATCCTCAAAACTCCATCATCCCGAACTGTAACCTGCTTGGCACCCCCGTGCCACACCGTGTCCCTAAGGACAAGCAAATGAGGATCATCATATTGTCGATCTCGGATACGCTCAAATAATGAAGAACGAGCGACTGTGCAAGCCAGCACACGGCTGGGCTCAGAAACATCCAACCTCAAGAACAGATTGGCTAAAGCCTGAACGTCCAAGGCAAGCGGTCTCTCACCGACCGGAATATATGCAAGACTGCCCATACTGGCTAACTTCTTACTCAAAGCATCGGCCAGTACATTCGCCTTCCCCGGATGATACAAGATGGTGATATCATAGTCTTTCAAAAGCTCCAACCACCTCCTCTGCCTCAAATTGAGCTCCTTCTGCTTGAACAAATACTGCGAACTCTTATGATCCGTGAACACCTCACATGACACGCCATATAAGTAATGCCTCCAAATCTTCGGCGCGTGGACAATGGTTGCTAGCTCTAAATCATGAACTGGATAATTCTTCTCGTGCATCTGCGGCAAAACGACCGCATCTGCGGTCCCAGCTCTCTTCCGCCAATTTCGCATCTGCGACCATAGGGACGCTTCTGCAGCTCCGCACCTGCGGTCCTAGTCTCGCAGGTGCGGTTACACCAGCAACCAGCAACTTCAGCTCTTCTTTAAACTCCGAATTCGATCCGTTAACCACCCGGAATCCACTCGAGGCCCCCGGGACCGCAACCAATCATACCAACCAGTCCCAAAACACATTACGGACTTGCTCGAGGCCTCAAATCATATCAAACAACGCTAAAACCACGAATTGATCTCCAATCCAAGCTTTATGAACTTTAGAATTTCAACTTCTACTTTCGATGTTTAAACCTATCAAATCACGTCCGATTGACTCCAAATTTTGCACACAAGTCATATTTGACATTACGGACTTAGTCCAACTTTCGAAATCGGATTCCGACCCCGATATCAAAAAGTCCACCTCCGGTCAAACTTCTCAAAAACGTTCAAATTTCTATCTTTAGCTAAATGACCCCCAAATGACCCACGGGCATCCGAATTCACTTCCGATCGCGCTCCCAACTCCAGAATCACCATACGGAGCTACTCCCAAACTCGGAATCCCAAACGGACATCAATAACACTGAAACGCACTTCAACCCAAACTTATGAGATTTCTTCCAAAATGCTAACTTCCAAAATAGGCGCCAAACGCTCCCGGGTCACCCAAAACCCGATCCGGGCATACGCCCAAGTCCGAAATCATCATACGAACCTGCTAGAGCCTTTGAATCCCAATTCTAAGGGCGTTTACTCAAAAATCCAATCATAGTTGTTTCTTTCAACTTAAAGCTTCCAAAATCAAAATTCTCCTCCCGAATCAACCCTGAACTTCCCAAAATTCAATTCCGACCATGCGTTCAAGTCGTAATACCTGAAATGGAGCTGCTCATGGCCTCAAACTGCTGAACGGCGCGCTAGAGCTTAAAACGACCGGTCGGGTCGTTACAGAGTGACGGTCATAGAACCCTACTGGAGACGCTCAAACTGCCTCCGATAGTCCTCCCTTTGAGTGATAGGAAGAAACTTCTCCAGAAATAGCTGAGAGAACTGATCCCAAGTCAAAGACGGTGACCCAGCTGGCCTAGCCAAACAATAATCCCTCCACCAAGTCTTGGCGGAACCTGACAGCCGAAAAGCAGCAAATTCGACCCCATTAGTCTCCACTATCCCCATGTTTGGAAAACACTCGTGACAGCTGTCCAAATAGTCCTGGGGATCCTCTGAAGTTGTACCACCATAAGTAGTAGTGAATAGCTTGGTGAACCTATCTAACCTTCACAAAGCATCAGCAGACATAGCCGCTCCATCACCGGTCTGAGCTACCACACCCAGCTGAACTGCTCCAACTGGCTAAGCTGCTGGAGTCTGAAACTGAGGAGCCACCTGCTCCGAAGTGCGAGTAGCGGGAGTCTGTGCTCCTCCCCCAGCCTGAGAGACGGTTGGTGCTACAGGAAGTAAGCCTGCCTGGGCGACACTCTCCATAAGGCACACTAGACGGACCAGAGCATCCTGGAGTACCGGTTTAGCGATGAACCCCTCTGGGACCTGAGTTGGCCCCGCTGGAACTGTCTGGGCCGGAACCTCCTCCTCGAACTCTACCTGAAGCTCCGCCGCTGGTGCTGCTGCTCTGGGTTGAGCCCTGCCCCTACCTCGGCCTCTAGCACGGCCTCGACCTCGTCCTCTGCCGCTCATAGGAGCTGCCACTGGGGGATCGGGCTGCTGATCAACAGATGAAGAAACACGTGTTCTCGCCATCTACGAAAGAACAGAGTAGAAGTTCAATTAGCGTTGAGAAGTCAAATCACACGACAGAGAAGAATAGATGTGAAGTTATTTCTAAACTCTGTAGCCTCTTGGGGATAAGCACAGACGTCTCCGTGCCGATCCCTCAGACTCTACCTAGCTTGTTCGTGAATTGTGAGACCTAGGCAACCTAGTGCTCTGATACCAACTTGTCACGATCCGGATTTCCAACCCTCGGGAGTCATGTTGGCGCCTACTCGTGAATGCTAGGCAAGCCAAATACTATGATTTTAACACATTAGCAATCAACCCAAACAACTATAAATAGTAATTAAAGATAAACAGATGAAAAGCGCGGAAGAGTTAAAATAAATCCAAATACTCCAATACATGTCTACCCACGAATCTGGTGTCACAAATTCATGAACATCTACGAATTTCTACAAATACTGGTCTGAAAAGAAAAGTACAGTTGTTCTCAGAATGAAAAGAGACAGCAGAAAGCTAAAACAGGGAAGGGGTACTTTAGGCTCTGCGGACGCCAGCAGATCTACCTTGGTCTCCCTGGACAGAAGACAACTACCTCAGCTACTCACTGGGTCCGGTACCGAAATCCGCACAAAAGAGTACAGAGTGTAGCATCAGTACAACCGACCCCATGTACTGAGTAAGTGTCGAGCCTAACCTCGACGAAGTAGTGACGAGGCTAGGACACGACAATCATATAAACATGTGCAGTTAAGTTATATACAAACAGAATCATAATAACAGGAATCAATAGAATAAGGTGGGAAGGGGACATGCTGCGGGGAGTATCAGATTCTAACAATAAACCAATAAAGAAGCATCAACAAAGAAGCATAATGAACATCATGTCTATATCAACAAGAATAATGAAACTGTAACGCGTGCACGGCATCACCCTTCGTGCTTTTACTCTCGTCCTCACCATATGAATCAACATAGACGGCACGGCATCACCCTTCGTGCATTACCTCACATAATCATGGCATGACATCACCCTTCGTGCATTAACTCTCAAATCATGGCACGACATCACCCTTCGTGCATTAACACTCATAATATCGGCACGGCATCACCCTTCGTGCATTACACTCACTCACAATATCATACACGGCATCACCCTTCGTGCTTTACGCTCTTCCTCACCCAAGCAATAGAAATAATACGTCCCGGCAAGGGAATCAACAATATAACAATAACCTCGCGGCAAGGGAATCAACAATAACATCCTGACAAAGGGTTCAGCTATAACCAATCTCGTTTTCAACAATTACTTAACAAAATGAAACTTAACTTGAGCCAATGCTCAACAATAGTCAATTACCAAGAAACTTTCATAAGCTTTGTTCAACATTAATAATCATCATAATCATCGATACCTAATAGAGTCACAACAATCATGGTATAAGACTCAAGGGCATGCTTGACACCAACGTATAGATACCCGTCACCATACCTATACGTCGTACTCATACTAACACATAGCAAATAAGACCACAACTCCTATTCCCTCAAGCTAAGGTTAGGCCAAACACTTACCTCGAATCCACGGACAAGATTAAGCCTCAAGTACCGCTTTACCCCTCAGTTCCACTTCCAATTCGCGTGTATCTAGTCATAATTTACTTAACAACATCAATAAATGCTAAATAAACCAATTCTAATGCATGAAAATAGATTTCTCAATGATTTCCCCACAAAGTCAAAGCCCGACCCCGAGCCCGCTTGGTCAAAACCCGAAGTTCGAACCAAAGCCCGATCACCCATTCACTCACGAACTCAAATATGCAATTAGTTTTGAAATCGGACCTCAAATTGAGGTCCAAATCCCCAAAATTTGAAAATCCTAACTTCTACCCAAAAACACCCAATTTCCCATGAAAAACCCTAGATTTTGAAGTGAAATCATGTAAAAAGATGGTATAGATTGAAGAAAATAAGTAAGAAACCGTTTACCTATGATTTGGGGAAGAACTCTCTTCAAGAAAATCGCCTATCACTACAACATTTTGCATATGTAGCTACGAAATATATTGTAGCTAAATATGAAAATTTCCGTAGCTAAACCCTTTAGCCACAATAATTTTTTCCGTAGCATCCGTAGCAAAATGCAGCATAACTAAAAGTTAGCTATAGACTTTATATGATCCATGGCTAAGGAATAATACTTATTGCTACGAATGTTTTCTGCATTGTAGCTATATTGATAATACTTTTTTGCTACAAAATATATACTCATAGCAAATAATCTTAGTCTTTTACCACGACAAATAAACTATATAGCAATCTTTATATTTTGCCACAAGGTGTTTTACTGTGGCAAAAGACTTAATTTGTTTGCACGAAAATTCAACTTTGTGGCTATTTTTATATTTTCATTTCTTACTTTTTTTAGCTACAAGTTCAAAAATTCATAGCTATAAATTGAAGTTTTGCCACAAATATTTAGATAGCTAAGAATCCATTCTCTTGCCATGAAATATATAAAATTATAGCTAAAGATTTCTTCATTTGCTACGAAAAGTGAGAATGTATAACCATATTTTTGTTACGTGATATGTATATAGCCACGAATTCATACTTTTGTTGCCATAAATTAAAAAATTTGCTACAAGAATAACTAGTCACAATAATTTTAATAATAGCTAAAATCCCAAATATTTTAGATTCCAAAACAAATTCAAAGTTATACATAAGGCTGTTAATAACATATCTAAGAATAAAAAGAATTTACATTCCACAATAGGTAATCACACATAATTGTAAATTTCAAAGCATTCACGATGCACAATTCTTCTACAAAACATCTTGCTTGAGACACCGTCTTCTTCTTTTACTCCTCTTTGGGTCTTTAACTGCACCTTATCTTACTCTTAACTTGTCATTGCTCTAATTCCACCAATTTACCTGTCAATGAAAATATATTTTAACACCAAGCTAGAATAACTGATCATATATTTTTCACAGGTACAACTGAGTTAAAACTTTAACACAAAGATGTAAGTTCGATTAGTAAAAATATTGATAAAATTTCAAGCAGACAAAAAACATGTCTTGATAAATATTTTTTTCAAGAATTCTAACAAATAACAAAAGAAAAAAATACAAAGCAACAAAATAAGTAAAAAAGAAAATTTTGAACACTTTTTAAACAACTTAAATGATCTTCATCCCAATTTTGTAATATTGCTTTTCGGTTACAGCCGATGAACTATGGCTCCTCCCAACATTATAACTTCAAAATCTTTAAATTTCCAATCACTATTTATCAAAAAAATAAGATACAATATCTATCAAATTGCTGGAATAGTCTACAAAATTGTACCCAAAAATCCAAGTGAAATAGGTATAAAAAAATCGCAAACCCTAAAATATAGAGATATGAGCTTACCTTTTCTGTCTAATAATAGAAAAGCGATGGGTTTCTCTCTCGCTCTTCTTTGTCGTTCTCGGTCTTCTTAGTTTAGCCGTGGTTAAAGAATGGAATGGAGAAGTGGGGAAAGGGAGGTGGCGGCGTGAGAGAGGGAAAGTCAGACTAGTTTAGGTTTAGGGATTTGCTTTGGGCTAAATAGCCTTTGTCGTTTTCTTACTTTATTATATACTAGTATATTTTTTTGCTTTCTTTTATTTCTTAATCAATACACGTAATATATTAAATGAAAAAATGTAAGCTCTAACAAATATGAGTCAAAAGCTTACCCACCAAAAAAACAAAAAATATAGATATTATAAATATTTAATTTATAATAAGTAACGTAGAAACAATAAACTATTTAAACAAAAATAAAAATATTCTAAATTGGCTTTTTTAAAGCTTCCTTCGTACTATATGATATTATTAGTTTGTTACTTTGTTATATGCTCCTATTTCAATTATATCAATTTTTCATTTTTTGCGCTTAATTGGATTTATGATAATTATTAAATTATCAAAATAGCACTAGACCATCAATTATGCCTATTCAAATTGAATACAATTAGTTATCACATGTAATAATTTGTAATACAATTAGATTATATTAGAAAGTCACATGTAATACTTTATTTAGTATGAATTATGATATACTAATTAATTTTTTTATAAACTTATTTATCAGCAATATTTAATTATCAGAGTTTTGAAATAAAATATAATAATTGAAATTATTTAAGTTTATAAAATATCGAATAATAGTCATAATAGAGACACTACCCCTTCTTACATAATTATATTAAATTCTTAATTCTTTGATTCGATGTATAATACAAATAATTTGTTGTACAATTTAATTGGTATAAGATTATATTTGTTTAAATTCAATTTTAAAACTAAAGAATTTTTTTTGCATTTAATCTGTAAAATTAAATTTTAAGATTGAAGATTAATTTTTGCATTTTAATTTTTTTATTTGAAAGTTAATTAATTTTTAATCATATATATTACTATTTTATCTTATTTGTCTATGAAATTAATTTTTCAATGAATGTAGATGTTCACCATATTACATTCGATATTCTCAGTGTGTCTAGATATATGAAAATTATATAAAAATTTAATATGAATAATAATGTTAGTAATAGATAATTAGATATTTTGTTCTATCTATGTAATTGTTAAGCTAACTATTTTTTAAATAATTTAAAGCAAAATATTTCATTTGGCTACACATTTTTATTTTAAATAATTTTATGCGGCTAAAAGATTACCATTGGTATAGCAAGTTTTAACTTGTGCCAAAAAAAATAATTTTTAGCTGCGAAATTTTATCTCCAAAATAAATTTATGGCTATATATATCATCATTTCATGACAAATAACTGTAGCTATTAAATCAATTGTTGCCACGGTATTTTAGTACTTGAAGCAAAAAATATTATTTAGCTATAATATTTGTTTTAATTATTTTGTTGTGGCTAAACAGTTACTATTGCTACAGTAAGTTTCAACTCGTAGTAAAAACTAATATTAGCTACGAAATTTTATTGTAGCAATAATTTCATGGCTATGTCATTTAACTATTGTCACGGTTTTTTTATAACTCGAAGCAAAAATATTTGTTTAGCTACAACATTATGCTTCAAATAATCTTTTGTATCTAAAAGATTACTATTGCTATAGTAACTTTTATCATGTGGCAAAAAATTATATTTAGCTACGAAATTTTACTGTAGCAATAAATTTGTAGCTATTTAGGTAATTGTTGCCACGATTGTTAGCAACTATAGCAAAAATAATGAATTAGCTTTGCCAGTATAATTTTTGTGGCTATGAAATTTTATGCATTTGTAAATAGCCATGGATTCGAATTTTTGTGGCTATCGTTAGGTACTAGCCACGATTTTTTAATCTGTAACTAAGATTTCGTAGCTATATATGTATAATGTTGTAGTGTATGTGATGTTTAGGTTTGAAAAAGTTGTAAAATGAAGAAGAATCCCGTCAAAAATTTTACTTAACAGATCTTAGATGTCGCAATTGCGACCAGGGGTTCGCAATTGCGAACCCTGGGAATTTCTGCCATATTCGCAATTGCGAAGAAATTGTCGCATTGCGACTTCTGGGGATTTCTGAGAACTTCGCATTTGCAAAGAAATGCTCGCAAATGGGAGCAAGGCTGGCCAGGGTATATTTTGCAATTACGATCAGCCCCTCGAAATAGCCAAGCCTGACAGGCTCGCAATTGTGAAGCCTGACCTCGCAATTGCGAGATCAGAGCCTGCAACAAATACCAGATGAAAAATCTAAAATTTCCCAAGTCCAATTCACCCCGTGGTCTATCCAAAACTCACCCGAGCCCTCGGGGCTCCAAAACAAACATGCACGCAAGTTTAGAAACATCAAACGGACTTGGTCATGCGATCAAGTCATCAAAATAACATCAACAACTACGAATTTAACCTCAAATTCATGAAATTCCTCAAGAACATTGAAATTTTCATTTTCTCAACTAAAGGTCCGATTTATACAAATCAACTCCGATTATTACCAGATTTCACAGATTCGACTTATTTATTATTTTAAACTTGTACCGGGCTCCGGAACCAACATACGGGCCCGATACCATCAAGAACACGCATCATTTCATTTCAAAAAGATTTTATATTTTCCAGCAAACAATTTTCCTAAAAAAAAAATTCTTGGGCTTGGAACCTCGGAATTCGATTTCGGGCATACGCCCAAGTCCCATATTTTACTACGGACCCTACGGGACCGTCGGATCACAGGTCCGGGTCTGTTTACCAAGAATGTTGACCATAGTCAACTTTAAGTAATTTTAAAGGCCAATCTCATTATTTTTCTTAAATTTCACATAAAAGCTTTTCCGAAAACTCGTCCGGACTGTGCACGTAAATCGGGGTGAGACAAAAAGAGGTTTTTAAGCCTCGGAACACAGTTTTGACTTCTAAAACAAGAGATGACCTTTAGGGTCATCACACAGGTTTTGATTCCTCTATTGATAACGAACTCGATTCTTATCTTAATCAAGGAATGGAAAGTATCAAAGACGAAGAAGGCAATGAACAACTTTTGGCATGGTGGAGGGAGCATGGCAAGGCATTTCCAACACTTTCAAATAATGGCCCGAGATATCCTGGCTATTCAAGCATCATCAGTAGCAGCGGAGAGTGCTTTTAGCGCGCCAAATTTCAAATCGAAGATCATAGACATTCATTATCGGAGGACAGCCTAGAGATTTTCATATTATTTATAGATTGGATTAATTCAGAAAGAAGAAATCTTGGCTTTGAAAAATTAACCACTAGGGAAGAAGAAGAAGAATACAATGAGATACTTAGCACTGGGAGCGATGATGTCATGGAACTCATGGAACATCAATCAACATTGCCAATTCCAGAACAATAACCGAGAGAAATTATAGATAAGTTATAATGAAGCTATATCGGAGCTTACAAATATTAGTATGATAATTTATAATTGGCTACTAAGAGGCGTAGTTCAAACAGAACCCTTCCTAGAGGGTGGTTGCGTAGATTAGGTGTTCTTCAAAAGAATTATATTTGAATGTGAAATTTGAAAGTTCTATTAATAAATAAAAGGTTCTAAGCGTTGAATTTTTTTTAATGAATTGTCTTACACTCTTATGTAGTTACTTAATAGCTTGAATTTATATTAAATAAATTACAACTCTACTATAATCACTAAAAAATTTTATTACAAGTCTTTTGTTCTAATATTTTATAATTCTTTACTTAGTTTCTTTATAATTTATTAAGTTTTAAGCTTATTAAATAAGTCAAAAAAACTAGTTAGTCATTATCTAAAAACTAGCCGTTGCCAAACTTAATGCTTAAATAATTATTTTTTTTAAAAAGGCCCACTTAGGGCCCGCGAACCTTCCCGTCCCATCCCGTTTGTTAGCGGATGGGATGGGCCTATCGTTTCGTCCCTTTTATCCTGTCCCGTTTAGGCCCATCCCGCCACCGTCCCGGCTAAATATTGTTCCGTCCCTTTTATTTAGTACCGTCCCATTGGACAACCATAGGAGGAGCACGTAAATATGGACGATGAATTAATTAGAAGAAAATTGAGGGACAAAAATACAATCCTTTACTTAAATAAACGAGTTTGGACTCGATCGAGAAAACTATTATGATTATGGAACCATAGTGTACAAGTAAAAGTGACGAAGGGAGTACATAATTTTCTTTCTTAAGTCTAGCGTCTATCTAAATTAGAAATGTGCAATACTAGTCAGGTGCCTCTTTAAGTTAGTCATATGATTGTCTAATTAGAGACGTGGCTAAACGGTTTGCTTTGAACCTTTATCACGGCCATAATTTGAAATTATTTTCAAAAAAGCTCTGATTAAATACATTGATCCCACCTTACTTTTTATGTTGTTTTTCTTTTATTTATTTAATTCAGTTTAAAGTTTCTCCACCTTTAACATGTCAAATTGAGAAGGACTCGTACAACTGCTGGTGGTTGTTTGAGTTACAATATTGAATTCTCTTAAATCATAGTAAAAAACATTAGGAAACCGACCGACACCTTCCTTTAATAATGGAGCATTTAATATTAACAAGTATTGAGAAAAAGACATTAGGTACTGTAAAATATATAGAAAACACACAATCATTATTTAGGACAACAGGTCCTCTCAACAAATAATAACTCGACACGTGTATGTATAACATATCAAATGACATGCATGTTCTCATGAAAACACCATAGGTGTACCCCACAAATATATAAATCTGGCAGATGGTTGATCCACGTATGTACTTAAGTTAGGTCGAATTAATACTACTACTACTATACTATTTTGGAATATAAAATCAAGTGCTTGCTTTTCATTGGATACAACTAACTTTAGCTTTAGGCCACCTTGTCTAAATATCTACCAGATATTTCTGTCTTGCCCGTCGATTCCCTGCCCGTTGATTTTCACCCACTGGATCTTCCTGCGTATTCGCATCTTCCTTTATTTGATCCGCCTCGGGCAGCTCTTCTGCCCGTTGCCTCTCTTACGACTGGTTTTATTTGCAGACCAAGAGAGCCCCTTTGGACATAAAAATAATTTCCCTTTTTTCAAAAAAAATTTATTTTTTTCGAAATT